ATGTTGTAAGGGATGTTTTCTCAGGGGCTAGAGTTGCGTACCCTATGACTCGTAGGGGTGCTGCCCAGCACGCACGTAACTTTCGGCACTTTATAGGTCTTAGGGCGCACGAGCTGTCGCCAACCTGTCTCATTAAATTAGATGAAGCAGGTGAGTTGATAGTAGCGGCGGAGGAGGTAGGCTTGACCCCGGAACCCTCTCTTCCCAACAGATGGCCTCACAACGCCTTGCTGGAGAGGGATATCCGCGAGGAGAAAGAGTGCTGCCGAGCTATCCACTTACAGAGTGGTTTGCCATACGACATGCATTCTTACTCGTACCCTTACGCGTGCCTTTCCTTGTCCTTCGACAGGAGTGCACCGATAGGGGGGGTCACACAGTGGGAGGCCCTCACAAAAGAGCCCTTCAATGGGAAGAGGGCCTGTTTTGGGCAACTGGTCTGGTACCGCTCTAAAGGTTCTAAGCGTACTCTTGAACCCAACATGTCACCAGGGCTTTTCCTAGGGTGGCGGATAGACGCTGGTATGCGCTATCGCAATGTTGTTAAGGTTCTTGATTACAATGACTTTCGCGGCAAACGCAACACATCTGTTCATGATGTCCCAGAACCTGAGCTGTACATCGAAGACGGTCCGCCCATCTTCCCTGTTGCAAACGCTACCCGTAAGGCGCTAGTCGACGGCTCCACTTTGAGTGCTGCCTCTGGCGCACTGCCCGAGATCCCATTGCGGGAGATTCCCTTTGCTCTTGAAAGCATCGGGCCGCCGGCGCCCAGAACACCTGGCGTTAGGACGGTTTATATCACCGCTGATAGGATTGTTAAGTTCGGGGAAACGCCGGGTTGCTTAGCGTGTAGAGGTAAGGCCACAAAGCACACCGACACTTGCAGAGCACGCTTTGCCGAGCTTGTTAAAGCAGACAAGGAAGAAGCTGCCGCAAGGAGGGCTGCGCTTCGCGCCCTAGGTGAGTCACCCGAGACTCCCGCACCAAGTGTTGCACCAGAGACTCCCTTTCCAAGCGCTGCTCCAGAAACCCCAGCTCCAAGCGTAGCACCAAGCACTCCGGTACCTCCTGCCTCTGCTACCGTGAGCGTTGTTTCAGCAGGCGCTGCCTTGCCACCGTGCACTGCCAGTGCCACGTGTCTTTTGGACACTGTACGCGGAAAGGAAGACCTACCTGTTTTCGGTTTAGCTGCCCCCTCCACACCACGTTTCGGGGAAGACAAAGCACACCTAAGAGGTAACAAGCGGAGTCGAAGGAGAGGGAAGCCTACTAAGCTCACGACTGTCTTCGAGTATGCATGTTCCCAAAACTCAATGTTAGGGCGTGTAAACGAGGAGCTTGGAGTACCACACGTACGCCTCGCCAAAGAGACCTTGGACGTTGAGAACGAGCTTGTAGCTGCCCAACTGCACGAACAGTTTAGGGCGTGTCCGAAGAGTCACCTCTGGGTGTCTCTGCCCTGCACCTCTGGATGCCAATGGCATCGCGTTCAGCTCAAGAGGGGCGGTGGCGAGTATCGCGCACGACTCCTGCAAAAGATTCATAGGTCTAAGAAGTTGTTCGCACAGTTTGCTGAGCATGCTAAGACCGCGCTTGACCTCGGGATTGACGTCACGTTTGAGTGGCCGAGGTATTCCGATTCATGGAAGAGGCCTGATGTAAAGGAGTTCTTTAAGGATCCTAGGTTTAAGGTTGTTGACTTTGATGGTTGTATGTTAGGTGTGTCTGCTTCAGGGGGGCAGCCGGTTAAGAAACCATGGCGCCTCATGACAACATCCACATCTATCGTATCAGCCTTTGAAGGGATCACCTGCAACCATGATCCCAGTGAGCACGTCGAGGCTCGGGGAAAGGATCTTGAACTCACTGGGTTGTACACGCAAGAGATGTGTGAGCGCATCGCCTTTGCCATCAACCCCAGTAGGGCCTATATCTCGGTTCCTGCGATGCCGATCTTACCCACTTCCACAACCACTGAACACCGCGAAAAGGAACAGGAACTGAAGCACGTTTCCGCTCTCAGCGGATACGAGGACCTTGCCGCCGTAATAGAGTCCGACCAGGAGGCTTCTAAGCTCGTAGAAGAGGTCGTCGACCTTTCCGCCCTTATGTGTGCAGTTCATGGCATACCTAAGGAAGCACCCTCAAAGGAGGTGTCTGCAATGGTGACGAAACTTCTCTCTCGGGCCGAAATGCTCTCCTCACCTGAGGCCCTCAATGCGGTGAAACAGGAAGCAGACGGTCTTCGCGCAGTTCCAGTGTGGGACGAAACGAACCCGCAGGAATACGCTAGCGTCCAAGCGCAAGCGCGCCGCACGGGCACTAAGGTACACTTCGGCAAGCTGATGAGCATTGCGTCCATCAAGTTTTGGGAACTTGCCAAGCACCTTCAGAAGGTTAAAGGCCGAATCGTGTACCGGGGTGACTGTGCGAAGGACGAAGAGGGCGCCGCAGCGGTTTACAGAGAGTTAGGTGCAAACCCCACCTCTGTTCAGGGACTTAATGCCTGTTTAGCTTACGGTAGCTTACCTGGCCATCAGTCCAGTGCCGCAGACGCCGTCAAAGCGTATGTGCAAGCTCTCCTTAAATCCAAGTACCAAACTTGGATAGAGCTACCACCTGAACTTCGTCCTGCTTGGTGGCGTGAGTGTTTTGCAAAACCAGTAGTGCTGCTTCTACGCGCACTGTACGGCCACCCAGAAGCGGGCGGACTGTGGGAGAAACACCTTAAGGAGGTTCTTAGGAATATGGGTGGACAAGAACTGCCGGAATATCCAGGTAACTTTTGGTTTCCTGAGACTAAGCTCCTTCTTTCCACTTATGTAGATGATCTTACCCTCTCTGGACCACAGGAGGAGCACCAACCGTTTTGGGATGCTTTATGTAAGGTTGTTGATGTAGAACCCCCGGAGCCTGTGTATAGGATCTTAGGCCGCAACCATTGCACTATCAACGCCGAGCCCGAAGGCACCGAGAATGCTGCCCTAGGCGCATTAAAGGGTGCCATGGCGTTTGATATGTTTGATTACGCACAGCAGACAGTAGACCTATACAAGGGCCTTACTGGCCTTAAGACTCTAAAGCATGCTGCCACACCTTTCGCTCCTGAGGCTTCACTTCCAGTAAGTCAAGAGGAGATTGCTGGGGAGCTGGCTCCTAACGCATGTAAGGTGCTGATGAAGGCCCTTTGGCTAGGCAGACTTGCACGTCCTGACTTAGTCAAGCCGATAGGTGACCTCGCGACCAAGGTGCAAAAGTGGTCGAGGAACGATGATAAGAAGCTTCTTCGCCTGATAAGCTACATCGATTCCACTAAGACCCACCGCCTTGTAGGCACTGTATCGGACGGGCCAAGGGAGCTGCATCTTGCGCTCTACGTTGATGCCGACTTTGCAGGGGAAAGGGACGATGCCAAATCCACCAGTGGAGGTTTCTTAGTCCTAAAAGGTCCCAACACCTTCTTTCCTCTTGCATGGGTGTCCAAGCGCCAGACGTCTGTGAGTCGCAGTACCACAGAGTCCGAGATTGTGTCTTTAGCTCATAGCCTCTTCCAAGAAGCACTTCCGGCATTGCAGCTCTGGCAGACCATCCTCGACTATCCGATCAGGTTAGTCATTCATGAGGACAACCAGGCTACGATCCTAGTTGCGAAGAAGGGCTATTCGCCAAAGCTTAGGCACATAGCGCGCACCCATAAGGTCAATCTGGGTTCCATCTCTGAGGTGATTGATGAGGATGATGTAGACATTGAGTATGTCGATACAAACTTGCAGGCTGCCGACATCTTCACTAAAGCACTTCCACCGCAAAAGTGGGATAATGCGTTGAAGTTGTTAGGCATGCGCCAGAAGCTTCCCGAGATTCTGGTAGACACGAGACAGCTCAAGACCAAAGCCGGTAGTGGCCCTACCACCTCTCCCACTTCGGGGTCTAGTCCCAAGTAGCGACGTTCACCTTTGCACAGCTTGCCGGAGGGAGCTGCTTTTAGCGCTCTTCCGCTAGGGGGGCTGCCGTAGGCGCCCGTGTGCTTAGGGGGCTGCTTTAAGCGCCCCATTGTACAGTTTCAAGTAGTTCGCAGTCTTTCCTGTAGCTGACTCTGGCGAGGGGGGAGTTGAAAGAACACAGCCCCAGAGACCCGACAGAGGAGGTTACAGAGGTTAGGTTGAGAGGCCCTGCTTTAATGCTTCAGGGGCCCAGGTTTCACTTGTGAAGTCAGACTACGAACGCCACTTTGGCTCAAGAAAAAGGAGGGCAATGCAGCTAGATGCCCTGGTTCTTTAGAGGGTTGGCCGGGTTTAAGTACCTTCCTTCCCTCTTGATTTCTAAGCCCTCAAATCATTCATAAACTTCCATCAGCTTGTGCCACTGGATCCACAGATGCCATACCCTAAATCCTGAACCCTAAACTGCAAACCCTAAACTAGACCCAATGACCTTCTGGGAGCTGGAAAAAGGTACTGAACAAAAACCTTGAGTGGGTGAAGAGATGGCTGTGACAAGGAAGATCAGGTACCTTGCCAGGGTCAGAGCCCTATCCGGACCTTCCAACATCCCTTAGTTAAGGAATGTACCTTGAATTGTAGGGTTTAGGGTAAGTAGTAGGATCCTAATGCGGTTTATAGTATATGCTTGAACTGAGGGTCTTTGAAAGGCGTGAGTACAGTCTCAACTGTATTGCTTTTTTTGGGTTAGGATCCTATAAAAGAGGACACCAAAAAGGAACTACAAAGAAGACTAGAGGTAGTTTATCAGCTCTTCCTGAATTTACGGCCAAGACTATATCCTGCAGTTCGCTATGTAGGGATTTTGGGTTTTGCGGTGTGTTTGACGAGGATCTCTCGGCCCCACACCCTCGTCGGGTTTAGGCAGTATCCTCTAAGGGGTCCACAGCCCCCCACCCCAAAGTTTGACGGATCAGGATGTAGGGTTTGGGGTGTAGGGACTTGTTCTATGAGACTTAGTCGGAATGTGGGGAGTTGGGCTCAGAGTTGACCCAGGAATCGCTGGGGCCCTTGGGCAATGCGCGACTTCACCTGTGCCTTGCCTCCTGTGTCCTGTGGGAAGACAGGCGGCCTGAAACACAATATCCCCCCTAAGCCTTAAACTTGGAACAGCCGGGTAAACCCCTGACCCATAACCCCAAAAGTTACGGCAGTTTCTTTTGAACCCTGAACCGCAAACATTAAAGCATGAAGTCTTGAAGTGGATCATGGTCGAGGTTCACGAGTTGTCTAGCACTGATGTTCACAGCTTCACGCTAAACTAGCCCTGATATACTGCTGTCAAGGATTCTCATGTGTTGCCCTGGCACGGAACTTCGATTGACCCTGCGACCGTGCCCGAGCTGATCGGTATGCCACTCCTACGTACATACCCTGAAACACTACAATCCCAAAGCCAACATCTTGGCAGCAAAACCAGGATCCTGGAAAACTGTGTGTTGAGTTTACTTAGCCGCCTTGCCAGTACTACTGGTACTACTAATGCGAAAAGTACTACCAGTACTACTTTCATCCAAGGCTCAACGAACACTGCCGCTGCCGCTGCCACTGCTGCCACTGCTGCTGCTGCTGCTGCTGCTGCTGCTGCTGCTAATGCTTGTGCTGCTGTTGCTCCTGTCACTGCTGCTACAGCATTAAACCCTTGTGGCATGCAGATATGTATAGCATGTGCTCGAACGAGATCCCCAATTTCTGACACGCATCTGGAATCCAGCCCTTCGTGGGGAACGAGATATGGGCCTGCGGTAAGGATACGCGTCCTTGAGCCGAATCTATATATATATATATATATATATATATATATATTACATATAAAGCCCCTCTGGAAGCCAACAAAACCAAGTATTGCATCCGATTACTTAGACTATGTGAAGCCTCGAAGCAGTTGTCCGCAGCAAGGTTTGCTGCCACCTGGGTCCCTGTTGAGAGCGTCACCTGGCGGCAATGGGGTCTGGGGGTTCTGGGCTTTCGTGGTTTAGGGTCCTAGAGGCGTGGTTCTTGGGGTCCAGGGCTTTGGTGTGTAGGGTTCAGGGTTGAGGGCTTTAAGGGCTTGTGGCTGAAACGCTATGGGCTTTAAAACTTCAGGGATCTATAGGCTCAGGGTTTGGAGTGCAAGGCGTCAGGCTGCAAGCCATCCTCTGATCCCCGGAGACGCCTTTCTACTCTTCGATTTCTTCGAAAACCCACACTGCCCCCAGAATCAACTTGAAGAGTCAAGAAGCCCCTAGTCTTTCCCAAATCCTACGAGCACAGCCCCCAACAGTAAAGCCACTATGTCCTGAGTGCAACTTCAAGCTCGACGCATTCCGCATCAGCTCCTGCGCCTGAATTATCTACGTCCTGCAGAATGAACACATCGGCTTTCAATCCGAACATCATCCAACCCAGAAGCAAGGTGACCCGAAAGCCCGCAGTGGATTCGATTCCTTTGCGAGTCCGTTATAGGGGGCTGTCAAGTGTCAGCGGCTTAGCCCATCATGGTCGAATTCCCCCCCCCCCCACTCCACACACCCAAGCCGAATCTAGCCCTAAAGTGTGAGCCCTTGCAAGAAGTCCTTGAAGCAAGTCCGGCTCCTGAAGCACAGAAGCTTTCAAGCAACATCACAATGATCGAGATTTCTTCTTCGATCCCTGAACCCTCCTCACAGGCCATGGGGCCGCAGGGGTCTATATAAGTAAGATCTGTTACTTAGCTCCTTACATCACCATAGCATTCCCTCGTAACTAGTCCCTATATGATGAAGTCTGTAGGCCTTTATGATACATGTGGCATTTCTGGGCTTCCAAGATTTGTCCAAGGTTGGCCTTGTGGGATCTTGGCAACCTTCACTTCCGTGGCCCGCTTGAATGCTTGGCCATACATTGCAATACCTCTTTGTGGGCGACCTTGGTTTCTTATCGTAGGAGGTCATTCGTCGGCTGCTTCAAGTAAATCCCGACCGATCCTGCACAGTTTAACGCTTTAGCCCTGTAGAGCTTGCTCTTGATTACTCTAACTGCTGAAGCCCATCTGTCAAATGCTGTATCAGCATGCGACCGAAACCTGTGCAGCCCTCAGCTTGGATTTAGGATCGTACAGAAAAGGCTGCCAAATCAGGAGCTTGGTGGCATGTTGTGCATAGTTATCGGCAATGTGGTAGCCGCTACTGGGGTGCTCCCGATCGCTTGGCAAGTACGTAGCACTAAAAACCCCATGAAGTTGTAGGCTTGAAAGGGACCTCGAACAGTTCGTAAAGCGGCGTGCCGCAATGTATTGCAGCCTCTTCTCACTACGTGGCTACAGACTCCATGGCCTATGGTTTGGGAAAGAATCCCCCTTGCCAGTACCTAGGACCCTCTGCGAGGTAAAATAAAACGCTTTGAAACCCGTACCCTAAACCCTAAACCGCGGAAAACCCTATAATTCTAATAAGGAGCCCCCAAAACCCTAGTCTAGTTATTGACGCCCCCACTGTACATAAACCGAGCTGGAGTGATTTTGACAGTCTACAGGTTTAGGGTTTCTGGTGTTACGGCTGATGTTCGTGTGGAAGCAGTCTCGAGCTGTTTTGGAGAGAGGGTGCAGTCTCGAATGGGGTTCTTGAAGGTGTACTTATTCATAGAAGGTTCACCGTGCATGCAGGGCTTAGTGCTCTTGTTTTGGATCGGGGCGTTGGGCTCTGGTGCCGTAAGAGTAGACATTCTTGTTCAGGGCCTGTGCGATTCCGGCTTGAAGATCATGTTTACAAGTAGCCTGCACGGTTTTGCTCTTTTGAGACTATGTCTGCGACTGCTTCTTTGGCAAAAAGCGTAAAATGAATGCCAGAAACCCAAACCCGGAACATCCACGGAGCTCATCTCGACTGTCTGCGCCTCACGTTTTGGCAACGCTTGCCTGGTACTTATTGCCTACATGCGTTGTAAGAGCCAGTCTTCAAACAGCCTACTTGCGCGAGCACCCGACTGCAAGGTGTTGATCCCAAAGGGTCCTATGTATTGTTCTGGGGGATACTTCCCTAAGTCATAATCGTAATTCCTAATATTTAATATGGAAACCCTACATTCTACTTCTACTATATCGCTACATAGGACCCTTTGGGGATGTGTACTTGTTAGTGGAGTTTTAGCAAATGGGTTCACGTATACCGATACCTGCCCGAGATGGATAATTACAGTACTTTTAGATGCTTAAAGGAGAGTCTCGTAGACATTCAGCTGTCCACTGCACACCCTAAACCCCCAAGCCCGACCCTAAAGCCCTAAAAACTTATTGAAAGATCATGTACAGGACCCTTAAAGGAACTCTCACAGCAACCCTCCCTAAAATCGTAAACTCCGAAAGGAAGCCTCGCAGGAACCCTAAACCCTTAAACCCTAACCCTAGACCCTAAATCCTAAACCCTTAAACCTCTTAAACCCTAAACCCTTAAACCTTATAAGCCCTAAACCCTTAAACCCTGAACCCTTTAGGGAACCTTAAAACAAGGTTCACAGATCTTCGTTGTGGCCGTGCTTTTGTCCGTCTGCGTGGATGTCGCGCATGGGGCCGCCGTGTGGCCGCGAAGCCTGCAGTTTGGGATTCAGGTTTTTGGGGTTATGGGTTTGGTGTGTGTTGTTCACTTACGGTTTGGGGTTTAGGGTTGTTGCCTTTTTTGTTTTAGGGTTTTTTTTGTGTGGGTTCAGGGACACGAAAGGTAGCCTTGAGGACATGTACAGACTGTCTCATCGCAGCCAGTTCGGCACGTGCTGCTTACTTGAAGGCCCGTAGCGGTAAACATGAAGGGTTCTTGCGTGACGTGCATGGCGCTACTCCTTGTCTTTGGACTTGGTAGCGGAGCTTCGGCTCCGGTACCAGGGCCAAAGTGGGAGCATTTTTCCCGCCGCGATCGGCGACTTTGCTGGAGGAAGTGGCAGCTACACTGGTACAGGCGCCGCCATTTCTTCTGGACACGACTCAGCTCCCATCTCGAGCCCAATCGTGGTTGCACAGTCGATGTGGAGTATGAGACACATTACCTTTTTCTGGCCGGGCGACTTCAAGAAGAGACACACCAACCGTACTGGTATTCTGACTTCGTGTACGAGCCCGCGAGCGTTTGGTATCCGCAACCACCGGAATCGGACGACACGTTACAGACATTGGAACCACCGGACTCGGACGCCGCGTTACACGAGTTGGACGCTACGCAGGACAGAGACGCGACGACGACGCAGGACGACGACCCAGTGACCCCGGAGAGTCAAGTATTCGATGTCATTGGTGCGCTGATTACATTGTGTGAACATATCAGTCGATGCAAGATATTGTTCTGCATATGCCTTTTCGCTCTGTGTGTGACCTGCAGTGCAGACTCAGCAGCCGACCCAGTCTTGTCAATACCACATTCCCTAAGTGCCTCAGACCCCAACCCTATGTCTGTCCAAACCGGGACGATGCATTCCAGCCTGCGGGTGTTAGGATTAGGGCATGATAGGCTTAGAACATTTGGGGTGGCATTAGCGTGGTTGATAGGACTTGGTCTTACGTGCACACTCCCGTGCATGATGATTCCAGGCGCATCTGTGCCACGCATGCCCCCGAGCTGGGGCCCTGAAATGCAGGAGCAGTACTCTTTCAGGCAGTGGAGCCACGACATTCTTGTGTGGTCCGTGGCTGTGGAAGGTGATCCCTCGCGCAAAGCAGCGCTGCTCACCATGGCCTTGAAGGGAGTAGCAGCTGAATACATTAAGAGTTTGCCCCCAGCTGTATTGATTAATGGCGGAGTGATCAACGGTAATGCCGCCGACCCTCTGACTTTCATCATGCACAGCCTTGCAGAAAGGTTCTCATTGCTAGGTGAAGAGGTCCGTATGTCCAGCCTCACAGATCTTTTTCACTTTAAGCGAAACTTCGCTGCCAATGAGAAGGTGGACGAACTCATAGCCCGCTTTGAACTTGTGCGACAGAGGGCTCACGATCAGGGTCAATTGACAATTTCCATTCCAGGCTTATGTTGGCTATTGTTAAAGGCCCTGGAAGTGACAGACAGCCAGTTGATGCAGCTTCTGGCACGAACTGACGGCCGTATGCCTGTCACAGAAGCTGAGTTCGCAGCTTTGAAGCTTCAACTGCGCAGAATGGGTCACATCCTTGAACATGCGCCTAATAACATCGCAACTGCTCTCAGGTCAAGTGGGCAAGGTCAGAGGCCCACGTTCCTTGCACATTCCGCTGACACCCAAGCCTTCGTGGCTCAGCCTGGAATCCCGTCGCACGGTGCTGCGTGGCCCGACGTTGGCACTCCGCCACTCGGCGCTGCGTGGTCCGATGCCTCCCAAGGTGTGTACGCAGCACAGGGTTGGGGTTCCAGTGGTTGGAGTCATAACGGTTGGGGTGAGCCTAGTGCTGCAGCAGAGCCTTCCAATGCATGGTGGACTGAGCCAGATGATCCCTGGGGCTCAGACACCGACACGGATACTGCCAGTAGCACAGGGGAAACAGTGATCCCACCTGAAACTCCAGAGGGGCTCACTGACGATGCAGCGGTGGGTGAACATTTGTTCTGGGCCTATGCCAGAGCCAAAGCTCAGTGGAGGAAATTCATGGGCCGCCCCACTCGTGCTGTTCGCAGGTTCACCCGCAAGTTCATTAGCCACAAAGGTAAGGGCAAGGGCAAAGGTAAAGGGCGTCCTAATGTTTCGGCCTTTCTAGCCGCGTTGCAAGATTCAGAGGTTGAGCAACTCTTTCTGGGCATGCGCAAAGGCAAAGGCAAAGGCAAAGGCACGAGGTCATCAGGGAAGGGAAAAGGCCGCCGCAGAAATCCTAAAGGTCGAGATGGCAGTGTCATGCGATGCTTCAGGTGCGGGAGCGACACTCATCTGTCGAGGGAGTGCCATCTTCCCAGAACGGACGGGGCTTCATCACGTCCATCTGCAGCTCCACAGCCCACCACCTTCTATACTCATGATCTCCCCAATAATGCCATGCCCGCCGGAGGCCCGCTTGATGGACTCATCTTCATGGCGTCGGAGGTGCCCTCCACTTGGAGCACCGAAGACAGCTCGGCCATTCCAGAAGGCGCCGAGGATCCGTGGGCCGAGTATCTTCGATACCATGGTATGTTTAATGCACCAGGCGCTCAAACCGCAGAAAATGGCCCGGAACGAAGCGCAGCCGGCTCAGGCTTCGATTTTCCCAGGCCATTCTCCGGTCCAAGTGCCTCCACCCGAGCTCCAGGTGCACAAAGGTCAGGTACAGCACAGGCTTCAGGTCCATCAAGCAATCCCAATCAGGGAAGCGGTGCGAGTCAGTCATTCTTCCCACCGCCGCAAGTCACCAGGTTGATGTATGAGCAGCCTCCACCCAGCCTGCCGGCTTGGGTACAACTCCCTGAGTTCGGGTATGTAGCCCAAGGTGCCCGAGTCCAGCCGCCGCAACATGTGCCCATGATCAGTGATCACCTGCCTTCTCAGGTTGAAGGACCTTCAGCAGAAGTGCTCGAAGGGATCCACACGCTGTCTCAGGCCACCACTCGCAGATGGGCAGGTGAGGATATGCCACGTCTCGCACAAATGCCCCAAGTAAACTCCACCCTAGAGCCTGAACACAGGGGCGCAATAGATGTATTGGCCTATGCCCAACACATAGTTCCAGCCAGGCGCGCTGAAGTTAGGGGTCGGGCACGCCGGCAACTTCGCCTGCCGACAGCCGTGGATGCAAATCGGTATGACGCACTTGACACTTCATGTGTGCTATGCCAAGAAGTTTACCTTGAAAACGATAGTGTGGCTCGCCTAGCATGTCGCCATGTTTTCCATACAGCATGCTGGGCTGACTACATGATGCATCCTCAGGCCCGTATGGAGTGCCCAATTTGCCGAGGCTCAGCCAGGGTCATTGCGCGATTTTCCTACATGGCCTCCTACGACAATCAAGAGCCGGCCTCCGAACTACAGTCGAGGCCCCCGTCGGTGGACACCACACCGGATGTATCACCGGAGCGGCCAACCGGCCAACATACGCCTCACCGCCGTCCCGCCAACTTTGATATGTCCACCCCTCCGCCAGCTAGTAGCGAGAGAGAGGACGAGCCATCACCGTACCAAAACTTTGAGTCTTTTCCCTGGTGGCCAACCGAGCAAATCCTGCACAGCACTTCGAACCACTCCTTTCAGTCACTGCTCATAGACCCAGGCGCCTACACCAACCTTGCAGGATTGAACTGGGTCAGACGCATGCAGCAATCAGCAGCTGAACACGGCTTGGAGGCTTCCCAGCAACGCCTTGAGAGGCCCATGACCATTCAAGGGGTCGGCCAAGGAAGCCAGTCATGCCTGTGGTCCGCCAAAGTGCCCATCGCTTTGCCATGTATCTCTGAGGGTCAAGCAGGAGTGGCCAGACACACATTTGAGGCGCCAGTGGTGGCGGATTCAGGCGCAGGATTGCCTGCTCTCCTGGGTCTCAAATCGTTAAGGGAGAAAAGCGCCATCCTGGTGCTAAGCTCTGATGACAGTGAGCTACGTATGATCCTTCCGGGCGAAGAAGGTGTCAATATAGAGCTCAATGCTGGTGCAGTCGTTTTCCCCTTGCTCACTGCGCCTTCTGGCCATCTTCTTTTGCGCTGCGATCAATTCGATGGCTGCAGGCGCATCTCGCTCGCGCCGCCCATGCGCACTTTTGCTGCTGATCCCCCTGTCGAACCTGAAACAGGGAGCTTTGAACACGGCCTGAAGATGCGGCCATCGCAGCCCTCTTCGGCCGCTAAAGTCAAGCTCAGCGCAGCTCCTCCCAAGGACGAGGTTTCGTCAGCTTCAGGTCTCAGGCATAGGCACCCGCAGCAAACCAGCCGCGAGGCATCGCGGAGTCGTGACCGCTAGAAGCAGCACCAGCGCGCGAAGGTGCCCCGGATGCTGATGCAACCAACTGTTCCTTCCCGGTTTGGAGCCGGGAGGAAGCAGAAGAGCGAGCTCAACATGCCACTTCGTGCCAAGACTTCAGCTTCGACACATGTTATCAGTTGTTGAACAGTACACCTATGCCAAGCCACGCTAAGAAGAAGCACACACCTTCAGGCAAGGCGGCAGTCTCCTCGTCTCAGGAGGCGCCGCCCCCTGCCACGCTGGCACTGGGCCTTTACTCTCACGGGGCTAATTATGGGATTACAACTGAAACCTTTAGCCACAAACAGTTGGTTCAGTACTTAAACAACTTTGTGGCCAGTCACGCCCCAACTCCAACATGTTGGACATCCCTCTACATAAACCGTAATTGGCCAGTTCCTGTGCACGCCGATGTGCACAATTTCTGGGGCAGTGCTAACCTGAGCATTAGCCTTGGCCCATTTAGTGGAGGCAAACTGTGGTTGGAAGTTTCTGAAGACGAGGCCCGCAAAGCATCCACTCATTGGGTGAAGATGCCAAATGGGGAGCAAATCCCAGGTGTAGTGGTGAATAGTCGTCATCGTATGATTCGCTTTTGCCCGAAACTTCGTCATGCGGTGATGCCGTGGACTGGCAGCCGGATTTCAGTCACTGCGTATGTCACTCGTGGCATAGAGCATAGTGGCAGGTCACTGCT